AGGGGCGCTGTGCGTCAGAGACAGCTGGATAGCAGTGGGTTTGGAGCCAAAGTTTACTGTCATGGTCGTATAAAATCCTGCGTAATGTGAAGTGGAGCGTAACCGCTCGGAACCCAGACTGCAGCCCCCGCTCTTCACTCTCCAGGGAGCATCAGGCCCCCCAGACGCTGAGCCTACGGGCCTTTTGTCTGTGTTTCCTTGGTCAGTGACCCTTAGATCCCCCTTGTTGCTCTCAGGGAAGATTACACTGTCCTCTCCTGTCCTCCACCTTCCCAGTCCCCAAAAAACACTTGTTATCTCTAGACGCCAGATCCTGACGTCGGGGGGTCTGGGGCATGGGGGAGGTCATCCTTCCTGTGAGGGTGTTCTGTGGCCACCACCTCCCTGCCTCCCCCCCAGAGGACAGAGTGGCAACGTGAGTGAGGCACTGGACAGTGCTGTGGTCCGTGGAGACGCTGAGTGGCAGGACTGACAGCGAGTGGCATCGTGTGTGGATCTGGGGGCTGACGGTGACAAAAGGCCCATTCTGGTGCAGGGACTTCAGCGTGACGGTGTCCTGCAGATGCCTGTGGTCCCGGTCCCACCACCCTGCCCTGCACTGGTCTGTACCCCGGCGCTGCGAGGGGTCACAGGGCCGCCCCCAGGGAGCTGGGCAGCGTCTCTGTTCTGCTGTTGTTGTTAGTGGCTGTTGGCTCCGACTCACGGCGACCCCTGCACAGCGGGATGAGGTGGGGTGCCGCTCCCGTGCAGGTGAAGGGTGAGTCGGGGCGCCACGGGAGCATGTGGCTCTGAGGCCCCGTCGTGCCTACATGATGGACAGAGTAGAGACGCACCCATCAGCGATGGAGACAGACACGAAGCCCACAGCTCTCGCTCCCTCCTCTGACAACCTGCTGACGGTCGGGGGCGCCCTTCCCACCTTGCGTTCTTCCTGCACTGTCTGATTGGAAGCAGGCTGCTGGCAAACCCAGTGCCACGCTAGCAACAAATAGACAGTCGTGCCGCCGTCGAGCTGATACCGACCCCTGGAACCCCATGTACTGCTCCAGAGCGGAGCCGCCCCCGGCTCTCGGCTGCTGTGTTGGTGGGAGCAGGACATCGGAGTGGAACTGCCCCCGGGCTCTCTCGGCTGCTGTGTTGGTGGGAGCAGGACATCGGAGCGGAGCCGCCCCCGGGCTCTCTCGGCTGCAGCGTTGGTGGGAGCAGGACATCAGAGTGGAACTGCCCCCGGGCTCTCTCGGCTGCTGTGTTGGTGGGAGCAGGACATCGGAGTGGAACTGCCCCCGGGCTCTCTCGGCTGCAGCGTTGGTGGGAGCAGGACATCGGAGTGGAACTGCCCCCGGGCTCTCTCGGCTGCTGTGTTGGTGGGAGCAGGACATCGGAGCGGAGCCGCCCCCGGGCTCTCTCGGCTGCAGCGTTGGTGGGAGCAGGACATCAGAGTGGAACTGCCCCCGGGCTCTCTCGGCTGCAGCGTTGGTGGGAGCAGGACATCGGAGCGGAGCCGCCCCCGGGCTCTCTCGGCTGCGGCGTTGGTGGGAGCAGGACATCAGGCCTCTCTTCTGCAGTGCCCCTGGGAGGGTGTGAACCCCCGATCTTTCAGTCAGGGATCAAGCTACACCGTTTGCACTGGCCAGGGACCTAGTGTTGTTTATAGTCACTCAGTTCCCAGAGTAGGTTGTGGGTGGCCTGTTAGGGGGCGGCCGGCCGGCCCCAGGCTCGCTCTGTGGGTTGGGGGCATGGAGGTGAGGGTCTGCCCCAGCGCCTACCCTCAGGGGCTGTCTGACGGACAGCCTGGGTCCTTGTCACCTGCCTGGGTGCTCTGGAAGTCAGGTCTCCCCTCTCACGTCACCTCCTGCCAGCGTTCAGGGTGGCCATTGGCTCTGCCCTGAGCAGGCACCATTCATTGGGTTCGCAGTTCACGGGGCAGGGGGTGGGGGGCTTTACGTGGTGGGTCAGCATTACATTCTTAACTTGGCAGAAGGTCCTGGGGACAAAAAGCCAAAATTGTAATATGTTTCTCTCTGTTTGTTTTTCAGGTACGCCTTTGGTAAGTGAAAGGAGGCTAAGAGTTTAGCATTATGTGTATCCGGTCTGTGTTGGTGTGTAGCTTTCTAAACCATGTATCATTTTATACAATGTATCAGGTATGTATATTTTTATATATGTATCCTGGTATGTATCATTATATATGAAGATTGACAGTCTTGGAAACCCTGTCCTCTAGGGGCACTATGAGTCTGAAGCCACTCCATGGCAGTGGGTGTGGTTTGGGGTTTGCTTCTGTGAAGACTGACAGCCTTGGAAACCCTGTGGGGAAGTTCCACTCTGTCCTCTAGGGGCGCTGTGGGTCATACGCAACTACATGGCCTTGGATTTAGCTTGGGCTTTGCTTCTGTAAAGATTAATGGAACGCACAGCTGTGGGTTCAGACCCGACTCATAGCAACCCCTCCTTGGGTTTCTGAGGAGGTATCACTGCAGAAGTAGATTGCCCAACCTTCCTTCCAAGGAGTGGCTGGTGGGTTTGAACCGGCAGCCTCTGGTTAGCAGTCAAGTGCCTTAGGCACTATGCCACCAATGCCTTGGAAACCCTATGGTGCAGTTCCACTATGTCCTCTAGGGGCGCTGTGAGTCAGACTTGACTCCACGGCAGTGGGTGTGGTTTGGGCTTTGCTTCTGTGAAGCCTGCCAAGAAAAAACCCAAACTCACTGCCGTCAAGTCAGTTCTGACTCATAGCAGACCCTCCTTGGGTTTCTGAGGGGGTATCACTATGGAAGTAGATTGCCCCATCTTCCTTCCGAGGAGTGGCTAGTGGGTTTGAACTGGCAGCCTTCTGGTTAGCAGTCAAATGCCTTAGCCACTACACCACCGAAGCTCTCCCGCAGAGAAGTAGAAATGTAAAAACAAAGAACCAAGTGGAAAATTCAGAATGGAAAAATATAACACCTGAAATGAAAACCCCGCTGAACAGGCTGAGGAGTAGAGCAGAGGTGACGGAAGTGTTAAGAGGGACCAACAGAAATGACCCAGTCTGAAAAAAGAACAGAGGATTGAAAAGGAATGAGGCCCTAAGGACCTGTGGGCAGATCAGCGGCGCGAGCCTGTGTGTAACTGCCATCCCAGGAGGGGAGGTAACAGGGAAGAAAGAACGTGTGCAGCGCTAGTGCCCAGATGTTTCCCAAATTTCGGGAAAGGCTCCGATGATGCCGGCTCGTCCCGGTTCATACCAAAAACCACAGACAAAGCAGCAACTTGAAAGCAGCCAGAGACAAAGCGACCTGTTGCGTAGGAGGGACAGTACCTTGCCTGGTGGGAGGCCAGCGGAAC